ACGTTTTATTCTGGCCGCGGAAATTGTGGAAGATTTTGTTTCGGAAACATTTTGGTTTTGTTTTTCCGTATTTTTGTTTCAGGAAAGGGTTTGTTTTTTGCCGTATAGTTTTTTCCAGGAAATGTTTTTTTTTTTTTTGGGAACGATTTTTTCCAGCCGTGTGAACGGCGTGGAAGAGTTTTTTTTTTCTCTGAAACACTTTTTTGCCCGTGGAAGTGTTTGTTTTGGAACCGTTTTTTTTGTGTATATATTTTTTCAGATATGCGACGGCGGCCACACTGCGTTCTCCGCATGCGACAGCCTGTACGTGGCTGCCAGCGTGTCCCCTGTGTATACATGAATACGTGATCCACGGCTCAAACTTCTCTCCACGGCAAAACGAGCTAGCTTAATAACATGCGCCTATACATGAATACGTGGAAAGACGGAACGGCCAGCAGACTACGGAGACACGCGCGCGTACCGGGCAACGCTGAAGCCGGATTAATTAAGCTGGACAAAGCGATCAACTTCCTCATCCAACGATAACGTTAGTAGTTTTTTAGGTGTAGACCGACGACCCGAAGCGGTGATTGTGGCACAAAAAAATTTCTATCGAGGGGAATATATTTTTGCTTTCCTGATTTGCTGCGGCTGTTATGGAGATTGAGCTGATCGCATGGAGCGAGTGCGTGTTGCCTTCCTGATTTGATCGCATGGAGCGAGTGCGCGTTGCCTTCCTAATTTGATCGCATGGAGCGGCTTTGGTGTCGCACATGTGGACAAAATAGTTATAAATGTTTTAGTAGTAGAGATAGAGATAGAGATATCCGATGGCGTCGCACCGTGCTCCCGTGCGACAGCCTGTACGTGGCTGCCGCGTGTCCCCTGTGTATACGTGAATACGTGATCCACGGCTCAAACTCCTCTCCACGGCAAACGAGCTAGCGACTAACATGCGCCTATACGTCAATACGTGGAAAGACGGAACGGCCAACGGACTACGGGGACACGCGGCAGCCGGGCGACGCGGAAGCCGGATTAATTAAGCTGGGCAAAGCGATCAACTTCCTCATGCAACGATAACGTTAGTAATTTTTTAGGTGTAGACCGACGACCCGAAGCGGTGATTGTGGCACAAAAAAATATCTATTGTGGGGAATTGTTTTTTTCCCTGATTTACTACGGTTGTTATGGGGATTGAGCTGGTCGCATGGAGCGAGTACGCGTTGCCTTCCTGATTTGATCACATGGAGCGAGTACGCGTTGCCTTCATGATTTGATCGCATAGAGCGGCTTTGGTGTCGCACCTGTGAACGGAAATAGTTATGAATATTTTAGTTGTAGAGATATGCGACGGCGTGGCACCGTGCTCCCGTGCGACAGCATGTACGTACGTGGCTGCCGTGTGTCCCCTGTGTATGCGTGAATACGTGATCCACGGCTCAAACTCCTCTCCACGGCAAACGAGCTAGCGACTAACATGCGCCTATACGTCAATACGTGGAAAGACGGAACAGCCAACAGACTACGGGGCCACGCGGCAGCCGGGTGACGCGGAATCCGGATTAATTAAGCTGGGCAAAGCGATCAACTTCCTCATCCAACGATAACGTTAGTAATTTTTTAGGTGTAGACCGACGACCCGAAGCGGTGATTGTGGCACAAAAAATATCTATTGTGGGGAATTGTTTTTTTCCTGATTTACTACGGCTGTTATGGGGATTGAGCTGGTCGCATGGAGCGAGTACGCGTTGCCTTCCTAATTTGATCGCATGGAGCGAGTACGCGTTGCCTTCATGATTTGATCGCATAGAGCGGCTTTGGTGTCGCACCTGTGAACGGAATAGTTATGAATATTTTAGTTGTAGAGATATGCGACGGCGTGGCACCGTGCTCCCGTGCGACAGCCTGTACGTACGTGGCTGCCGTGTGGCCCCCTGTGTATACGTGAATACGTGATCCACGGCTCAAATTCCTCTCCACGGCAAACGAGCTAGCGACTAACATGCGCCTATACGTCAATACGTGGAAAGACGGAACGGCCAACGGACTACGGGGACACGCGGCAGCCGCGCGACGCAGAAGCCGGATTAATTAAGCTAGGCAAAGCGATCAACTTCCTCATCCAAGGATAATGTTAGTAATTTTTTAGGTGTAGACCGACGACCCGAAGCGGTGATTGTGGCACCAAAAAAATGTCTATCGCGGGGAATTGATTTTTGCTTTCCTGATTTGCTGCGGCTGTTATGCGGATTGAGCTGATCGTATGGAGCGAGTGTGCATTACCTTCCTGATTTGATCGCATGGAGCGAGTGCACGTTGCCTTCTTGATTTGATCGCATGGAGCGGCTTTGGTGTCGCATCTGTGGACGGAATAGTTATGAATGTTTTAGTTGTAGAGATGTAGAGATATGCGACGGCGTCGCACCGTGCTCCTGTGCGACAGCCTATACGTACGTGGCTGCCGCGTGTCCCCTGTGTATACGTGAATACGTGATCCACGGCTCAAACTCCTCTCTACGGCAAACGAGCTAGCGACTAACATGCGCCTATACGTCAATACGTGGAAAGACGGAACGGCCAACGGACTACGGGGACACGCGGCAGCCACACGACGCGAAAGCCGGATTAATTAAGCTGGGCAAAGCGATCAACTTCCTCATCCAACGATAACGTTAGTAGTTTTTTTAGTGTAGACCGACGACCCGAAACGGTGATTGTGGCACAAAAAAATATCTATCGTGGGGAATATATTTTGGCTTTCCTAATTTGCTGCGGCTGTTATGGGGATTAAGCTGACCGCATGGAGCGAGTGCGCGTTGCCTTTCTGATTTGATCGCATGCAGCGAGTGCGTGTTGCCTTCCTGATTTGATCGCATGGAGCGGCTTTGGTGTCGCACCTGTCAGATGGAATAGTTATGAATGTTTTAGTTGTAGAGATTTTTGGGAAACGTATTTTTTGCGGCCGTGTGAACGACGTGGAAGAGTTTTTCTGAAACACTTTTTTTCTGTGGAAGTGTTTGTTTTGGAACCGTTTTTTTTTTTGCTGTATATTTTTTTCGTATATGCGACGGCGTCGCACCGTGCTCCCGTGCGACAGCCTGGACGTGGCTGCCGCGTGTCCCCTGTGTATACGTGAATACATGATCCACGGCTCAAACTCCTCTCAGCGGCAAACGAGCTAGCAACTAACATGCGCCTATACGTGAATACGTGGAAAGACGGAATGGCCAACGGACTACGGGCACACGCGGCAGCCGGGCGACGCAGAAGCCGGATTAATTAAGCTGGGCAAAGCGATCAACTTCCTCATCCAACGACAACGTTAGTAATTTTTTAGGTGTAGACCGACGACCCGAAGCGGTGATTGTGGCACCAAAAAAATGTCTATCGCAGCGAATATAATTTTGCTTTCCTGATTTGCTGCGGCGGTTATGGGGATTGAGCTGATCACATGGAGCGAGTGCGCGTTGCCTTCCTGATTTGATCGTATGGAGCGAGTGCGTGTTGCCTTCCTGATTTAATCGCATGGAGCAGCTTTGGTGTCGCACCTGTTGACGGAATAGTTATGAATGTTTTAGTTGCAGAGATATCCGACGGCGTCACACCGTTCTCCCGTGCGACAGCCAGTACGTGGCTGCCACACGTGTCCCCTTTGTATACGTGAATACGTGATCCACGGCTCAAACTCCTCTCCACGGCAAACAAGCTAGCGACTAACATGCGCCTATACGTGAATACGTGGAAAGACGGAACGGCCAACGGACTAAGCGGAAGCCGGATTAATTAAGCTGGGCAAAGCGATCAACTTCCTCATCCAACGATAACGTTAGTAATTTTTTAGGTGTAGACCGACGACCCGAAGCGGTGATTGTGACACAAAAAAATATCTATTGTGGTGAATTGTTTTTTTATTCCTGATTTACTGCGGCTGTTATGGGAATTGAGCTGATCGTATGAAGCGAGTACGCGTTGCCTTCCTGATTTGATCGCATAGAGCGAGTACGCGTTGCCTTCATGATTTGATCGCATAGAGCGGCTTTTGTGTCGCACATGTGGATGGAATAGTTATGAATATTTTAGTTGTAGAGATATGCGCCGGCGTGGCATCGTGCTCCCGTGCGACAGCCTGTACGTACGTGGCTGCCGCGTGTCCCTGTGTATACGTGAATACGTGGGCTCAAACTCCTCTCCACGGGAGACGTTCATAACTCCTCTCCACGGCAAGGCCTTATTTGCCGCCGGCCGGTTCGGGCGCTAGTTGTACCATATTGTGCTTGTGCATAGGTTCATTAAGCAGTGTCCGTACCTAGACCAACTCCTTTATCCAACTTAAACTTTGTTTATTCTCGAGTTTAGCTAAGCTTGGAGTTATCTTCAACAAATAATTGTCGTGGCACATTCCAAGCACCTTCTCTTTTTTTGTGTCAACGTCCTTTTCAGTATGCCTTAGCCGCCCCTTGATGGTGAGAGGACAAGCAGTTAGGGTTGTTCAAAAAAGAAATACGGGGTACTGCGTTGTTCATCTCTCTCTCTCTCTCTTTATATATATATATATATATATATATATATATATATATATTGCGTGTACACTGAGTCGTGTCATATGCATGTAGAACTTTGTTTACTATCAAACCGTCTGCAATAAGGCTATTTAATATCAATACTGATGTGAAAGGAAACTTCCACTTGCAACACTTGTCCTTAAAAAGTAAGTTATTTTAAAGATCAACTACTACTAGTCTACACTACTTGACCAATGTCTATCTATATATCTCAAAAAATAACACGCACAGTCGCACACTGCACATCATGCTCACCTATACCATATAACTTGTATGGAATAATCGGCATCGGCTGACGCAATAAGCTTATACATCAGAACACAAGGGACGGTCTGCGAACTGAATAACCTAACCATATGTAGACTCCTTCCACACTCATCACTGGCTATAAAAACCCCGCAACTCGAGTTAGCTTTCTCTCATCCCAAAAGATCGATCGAGAAGCTAGCAAACATGGCGTTTCTGAAGCGTAGTAGTCTAATAGCTGCCTTCCCAGTGGCCATGGCGATAATGGCCATCGCAAGCACCACCACCTCAGCGCAGAACACGCCGCAGGACTTCGTGGACCTGCACAACCGCGCGCGCGCCGCGGACGGCGTGGGTCCGGTGGCGTGGGACGCCAAGGTGGCCAAGTACGCGCAGGACTACGCCGCGAAACGCGCCGGCGACTGCAAGCTGGTGCACTCCGGCGGGCCGTTCGGGGAGAACATCTTCTGGGGCTCCGCGGGGCGGGCGTGGAGCGCCGCCGACGCGGTCAAGTCGTGGGTGGACGAGAAGAAGAACTACCACCTGAGCAGCAACAGCTGCGACCCCGGCAAGGTGTGCGGGCACTACACGCAGGTGGTGTGGCGCAAGTCCACCCGCATCGGCTGCGCGCGCGTCGTCTGCGCCGCCAACCGCGGCGTCTTCATCGTCTGCAGCTACGACCCTCCCGGCAACTTCAACGGCGAGCGCCCGTTCCTCGGCCTTGACGCGGCTGCCAAGTAGAGTGCGTGCGCACGTAAGCAAACTCTACTAGCTCCGATCCATTGCCTCCGGTCGCACGTACACTCACTGGTCGTGGTAGCATTTGTGTACCCTTATTTGTATGTGTCCGTGTTTGTGATGTTTGTGTAATAAAATGCTAATGCTTTCCGCGTTATATATGTTTATATGCAACTTAATTTTGCATACTTACTATGTGAAAAACAGTGTTGTACATGTTTTTGCTCAATGCAACAAGCACAACCTACATTAGCAATTGTAAATAAACTTTGGTGTAATGCGAGTTTCAACATAAGGATGTGACATCTATCTTAAACGAGGCCACGAGGGCTCGGTGTTTCAATAGGAGAGAGAATAATAAAGTATCAATTTTACGCGAAAGGCTAGCGCGCCCGGACGTCCGGACGGGGCTAGCGTCCAGACAACCGCGCCGCACGCCTGCTTCACGTGGGGTCCCGCGCCGCTCTGTGTCCTGCGCCCGCTTTGTGTCCCGCGCTGCTCCGTGTCCCACGCTCGCTTTGTCCCAATCTACACCCGCACGGTTTCCCGTGCTACCGCTCGCCGACCCTCCACACCCACGCACATGCAGGTGGGCCCAGCAGTTGTAGTAGGAAGCTGCTGCAGATGGGATCCACTGCAACATGTGCAACACCAGATTTATTTTTGCAACATCTAGAGGAAACATTTGCAACATACGTTCGAAACAGTTGAAACACTTACAACATACGTCTAAAACACGAGGGAAACACGTGTGTAGCCATTGCAAAACATATGCAACATCTAGATGAAGACACTTGCAACATATGTGTGAAAACATGCAACATCGAGATGAAACACTCGCAACATAAGTGTGAAATATATGCAACACCCAGATAAAACACGTGCAACATCCATCTGAAACAGCTGAAACATTTGGAACAGACGCTTGCAACATACGTGTATAGCCATTGCAACATATGTAATATCTCGATCTACTTTTGCAACATCCACATAAAACACTTGTAACATGCATATGAAACACTTGAAACATACGCTTGCAACATCAAAGGAGAGGAAGGGAGCGCGGGGTGCAGCTGGAAAAGCCCACTCCGGATCTCATGATGTTGCGAGCGGAGGTCGAGCGTCGCAGCGGCGCCAGTGTCGACAGCAGCCACGACCTCATGGTGGGGAACGACGGCGTCAGCAGCACCTCGACGCGGCGAGGGACGGGCATGATGCGCAGGGGTGGGGACTGGGCACGGCGCGATGAGGTGGAGTGGGCGCGACGGGGGATGGAGCACAGTGCGACGGCAGACATGGCGTGGCTCGATGCGGGATGGGGGCACTGCCGCGAGGCGGCTTGAGGCGGGCGGACAACGCGGTGAGCTGCGACGAGCGAAGCGAGGAGTTGGGGATTTATGTCGATTGTCGTAGTGTACATGGAGTAGATAGATGAGAGAGCCTAGATGGGCCTGTTGGGCCGATCGCTGTGTTGGATCAAGCGCGGAGCAGAGCGTTTGATTTTTTCTAAGATTCCGGACGTATGTTCTGTAGCATTAGCACAATTTTATTATTGAGGTTACCCATGCTTGGGTAAATTCTCATACACCTCCAAACTTTGGTCTTGTCGAATAAACTGAGGAATAGCTAAATTGCCAGCAGATGAAAGGGATGGCAGAGGTTGGGGAAGTGAGAAGGAAGCTGCATGTTGTTTTTAAGTGCCACAGATGCTCTTCGCTCTGTAGCACAAACTCAGTTTGAGCATTATTAGCACTATATGACACTTAGCAAGTTAGCATATGTGTCTGGCCGGTTTGGAGACAATTAAAAATGGGAATGACCCATTCTCGATTTTTGTCCTATTTCAGTGTTTGCTTGGGAGAATTAGTATGATTCATTTTGTATTTGGTTTGAGATCATTAAATGCGATATGAGTATTGCTAACAAATAGGACCCATGCATATGTTAGCCTGTTACTTTTATCTTATCTTCCCATCGATGATTTCAACACCGACAAAAAAAAAACAAAAACAAATGGCCATCGTGTCACTCCCCTTTCTCTCCATCGATAAGCACTTCAGCCCAAGCAGCGCTCTAAGTCCCAGCCCGCTGGTGCCTCAGTCTTCAACAGTCGTGTCCCACTGGGTCTCCGCTGGTGCCTCAGTCCCTAATCCACCTTTCTCTCAGCTCACCCATGCCTCAAGCGTAGCTTGCCGACGTGCCTCTTCCTCCCACTGGGTCTCCAAGCCCACATTTGTATCCTCCTCCACGAGCATCTCATCATAGCCTCTTGCAGCTGGACGTGTGCTTTGCTTTCCTCTCCAAGGGTGTTCAAGGGTGTAAGATTTGAAAGGAAGGACTCTCCCACATCTAGAGGTATATTCTCTTTTGGGATGGTTCCATTCCATTCGTTAACATTAAATCGGAGATCACCTCGTCCCATTCCTACCGTCCCACCAACCAAAACACACGGGTAAAGCTTGACCTCAAGACACATACATACAAGTTGTCGAGATGCTTTATCTTCATTTTAATTAACATTTATGGGAATTGCTTGCAGTTACTTAATTTTCTCAGTAGTTGACTGCATTGTTGATCCTTAGCTTAATTAAAACACTTGCTTTGTTTCTTTTATCTATTACCGACCAACAAGAAGCTACCTACATGCTCAAGCAAAATTTGATAGCCGCCGGGGCAACGTGACCAATATCACAAGTACATGCACCCGTGAGGATTGGCCTGACATCTCAACTACTCCTACAAGTGAGTCATCTTTGACCATGATTATGATTTATACAAGAGGTGCAAACAAGGCTGTCTCCCATGAATTGCCAAGGGGATTCCAATTAGATACTTGTTTCTTGATAGTTTGTTTAACCTGTCAGGAAATGTAATAGCAATGGTATTTATCAGTCATCGGAGGACATCGGAATCGAAAGCAGTAAATTGGAGTCCCACCTCACTGACGAGGGCAGGAGACTTCTGAACACACTACCAATGAAAAGAAAAATGGCGGAAACAAAACAAAATTTGCTGCTCGCTGTAAACTTGAGCTATGTGTATCGTAGAACAAATTCTGGCTGTAATGCTCTTCTAAGCCAAAAGTAATACTCTACCAGTTTATTGTCACCCTTATATGTACATTTTATTGCTCACGATCTGTAAAACTGCAACCGTACTGCATCAGACAGCCGGCAAGAACTTCTCGCCTTCAGCAGCGGACTTCGATTGCTCACCCACTTTCCGGAAAACTAGCTTCTGCTGCGGAAGCTGGCCATTGGAGGGCACCGTAACCTGCGTGTCCACAAAGATGCTGTCCTCGTCCTTGAAATCCCCTCTGAGGATGCCCTTTGCGAGTTCGTTCTCCACATACTGTTGAATCACTCTCTTCACCGGCCTTGCACCATAGTTCGGGTCATACCCCAGGCTTCCCAAGAATTCAATGGCACCAGGTGAGAATTCGAGCTTGATTTTGCGGTCTGCGATCCTCTTCTGTACTCTTGCAAGCTGCGTCGCAGGACGTACAAGAACAAATATGTCAGTATATGATAGGTGGCATGCTGAATAAAGATCATAATTCATAACTGACATCTCATGTCATCCTGATAGTTTGTGAATGCAAAATGCTGCAAAGTGTTACCTGTAATTTGACAATGCTGTTGATCTGTTCTCTCGAGAGAGGCTTGAAAACAATATACTCATCTACACGATTCATGAACTCTGGACGGAATACAGATCTTGCAGCATCCATCACCCTCCTCTTTATGTTCTCATAGGCTGAATCAGATGATCCAACTTCTTCATCCATGTTTAGTATATACTGTGACCCAACGTTGGATGTCATGATAATTATGGTGTTGGTGAAGCTCACTTTCCGGCCTTGAGAGTCAGTAACCCTACCATCGTCCAATATTTGAAGGAAGACATTAAAGACATCTGAATGAGCTTTCTCAATCTCATCAAACAAGACAACAGAATATGGCCTACGACGAACAGCCTCTGTTAGTTGACCGCCCTCTTCATACCCAACATAACCTGGTGGAGCACCAATCAATCTTGAGACTGAATGCTTCTCCATGTACTCGCTCATGTCAATCCTGACAACAGCTTCCTCAGTGTTGAACATAAAAGCAGCAAGGGCTTTCGCTAACTCTGTTTTGCCAACTCCTGTAGGTCCCATGAACATGAAACTGGCAATAGGACGGTTTGGGTCAGATAATCCAGCTCTGGATCTCTGAATAGCCTCTGCAACTGCTTTTACAGCAGGATCCTGACCGACAACTCGCTTGTGTAGCTCTTCCTCCAGATACAGCAACTTCTCCCTGTCATATTGCTTTAGTTTGGAAACTGGAATGCCCGTCCACCTGCTCACTATTTCTGCAATATCATCTTGGGTCACCTCTTCCCTTAGCATGGATTTCCCAGAACTCTGATATTCATCAAGCTCCTTCTCTGTCATCTGAAGCTGGCGCTGCAAGGCATTCAGACTGCCATATTTCAGTTCAGCAGCGCGATTAAGATCGTACTCACGTTCTGCCTGCTGTATCTCCACATTTAGCCTGTCAATCTGTTGCAACAGGTAAATTTAAGTCAATTGTCTGAACCAACTCTGTCGATATATTCATAGTCATTGTGGAAAGGTAAACCTTACCTCTTCTTTGATAGATTGAATTTTAGTCATCACTGATTTCTCATGCTCCCACTGCTCAGTCAATTGGCGTTGTTTATCCTTCAAGAGTGATAATTCTGCTTCAAGACGGGATAATCTGTCCTTTGATGCTTTGTCTGTATCATTTGTAAGTGAGAGACGCTCCATTTCAAGCTTCAGGACAGCACGATCAATCTCATCCAGAGCAGTAGGTTTTGACGTTATCTCCATTTTTAACTTGGCAGCTGATTCATCAACCAGATCAATTGCTGCAACAAAGCATAACCTCTCATTAGAAAGACCATATAAGATCTTACAGTAGTGGCTGTAATAATATCTCCTCATCATCTAGCAGGTTAGTAGCTTCAATTAAGAATAAGAATGGTAATGAGTCAAATAAACCACCTTTGTCAGGCAAGAATCGTCCACTGATATAACGGTCTGAAAGAACAGCTGCAGCCACAAGGGCACTGTCAGATATTCGTACACCATGGTGCAATTCATATCTCTCTCTTAGTCCTCGGAGTATTGAAATTGTATCTTCAACTGAAGGCTGATCAACATAAACTTGTTGGAAGCGCCGCTCTAGTGCTGGATCTTTCTCAATATATTTGCGGTATTCATCAAGGGTTGTTGCACCAATACACCGTAGCTCTCCTCTCCCAAGCATTGGTTTGAGAAGATTACCAGCATCCATTGCACCATTAGTGGCACCTGGAATAGGATGAACAATCATACATTCATAAATTTCCTAACAGCAGAGACAGGTCTTCTATTGTTCATGACAATGGTAGTAAAATTCACACCAAACTTTGACAGGCAATTTCATATTAAGATCCGCCATGAATTCATCGGGCTTCTACAAGGTTTGGCCTCAAGCATCAATTTTATTTTCATCATAAAACAGCAGACAAAACAGGGGGAAACATTAAGTGAGTGACACGACTTTGCATTGAATATGCTTCTTTTATCCACCCAGTGCAGCCTATAAGTAAAATATAGAGAACCATGTTTGAATCTAATCTTGAATAACAAAACTAAAAAAGAAAATATGTAGTCTCTCACCCTGAAGTGTTATAAGAGGCTCAAATGCCAGGCCAAAGTGGAATCACCACAAGTTCAACAGTTAGTGTGAGGTATACATGGGCTTATGCAAACTATATGGCTATAGTCCAGGTTTAACTAAGACCAGAGATGGTTTCCAATAGTGGGGCCCATACAAGGTCATCAAAGGAACTTCCACATGCACGCAATTTTTCAAGAAATGAAGTATTACCAAATAAAACAGTTTGAACTAAAATAAATTAATGGCAAGGCTGAAAACATCTAATAGTCAGGGAAACAACAGAGCATCCTGCATAGTTACCTGCTCCAACAACTGTGTGAATCTCATCAATGAAAAGAATGGTCTGCCCATCAGAATCCGTAACTTCTTTGAGAACAGCCTTGAGTCTATCCTCAAACTCTCCACGATATTTTGCACCAGCAATCAATGCACCCATATCAAGTGCGATTAGCTGTTTAAAAGAAACAGTAGAATAGAGAGTTAAAAAATGACCTGTAAAAATGTGAAAAAAAGTCTCCAAAGAAGCCAATAAGGCCTGGTTTCCCTTATAAATTAGGCCAATTCTATTCTTCTTAATTGAAAGGCAGAGCTCCGCCATTATGTTTAAAAAAAAGCTAAGGCACAGTGGTTACAATTTAAATAATGCTTCCAATATTGTTAGACAATGCAGTAAAGCAGCAGCAACAACAACAACAAAGCCTTTAAGTTCCAAACAAGTTGGGGTAGGCTAGAGTTGAAACCCAGCAGAAGCAATCAAGGTTCAGGCACGTGAATAGCTGTCTTCCAAGCACTCCTATCTAAGGCTAAGTCTTTGGGTATATTTCATCCTTTCAAGTCTCCTTTTATTACCTGTACCTAAGTCAACTCGATCCCTATGACCGCAAATCCAACGCAACATACGCATTTCCACGACACTTAGCTGTTGAACATGTCGTCTTTTCGTAGGCCAACATTCTGCACCATACAACATAGCAGGTCTAATCGTCGTCCTATAAAACTTACCTTTTAACTTCTGTGGTACCCTTTTGTCACATAGGACACCATATGCTTGCCGCCACTTCATCCACGCTGCTTTGATTCTATAGCTAACATCTTCATCAATATCCCCGTCTCTCTGTAGCATTGAACCTAAATATCGAAATGTATCCTTCCTAGGCACTACTTGACCTTCCAAACTAATATCTTCCTCCTCCCGAGTAGTAGTGCCGAAGTCACATCTTATATACTCAGTTTTAGTTCTACTGAGTCTAAAACCTTTGGACTCCAAAGTCTCCCGCCATAACTCTAGTTTCTGATTCACTGATGTCCGGCTTTCATCAATTAGCACTACATCGTCCGCGAAAAGCATACACCAAGGGATGTCCCCTTGTATGTCCCTTGTGACCTCATCCATCACTAAGGCAAATAAATAAGGGCTCAAAGCTGACCCTTGATGTAGTCATATCCTAATCGGGAAGTTATCCGTATCTCCATCACTTGTTCGAACTCTAGTCACAACATTGTTGTACATGTCCTTAATGAGCCCGACGTACTTCGTTGGGACTTTATGTTTGTCCAAAGCCCACCACATAACATTCATTGGTATTTTATCGTAAGCCTTCTCCAAGTCAATAAAAACCATGTGTAGGTCCTTCTTCTTCTTCCTATACCGCTCCATAACTTGTCTTATTAAGAAAATAGCTTCCATGGTTGACCTTCCGGGCATGAAACCAAATTGGTTCATAGAGACCCGCGTTATCGCTCTCAAGCGATGCTCGATAACTCTCTCCCATAGCTTCATAGTATGGCTCATCAACTTAATTCCCCGGTAATTAGTGCAACTTTGAATATCCCCTTTATTCCTGTAGATCAGTACTAATATACTTCTCCTCCACTCATCAGGCATCTTGTTCGATCGAAAAATATGGTTGAACAGCTTGGTTAGTCATACTATAGCTATGTCCCTGAGGCATCTCCAAACCTCGATTGGGATACCATCCGGTCCCATCGCCTTACCTCCTTTCATCCTTTTCAACGCCTCTCTGGCCTCAGATTCTTGGATTCTCCGCACAAAACGCCTATTGGTGTCATCAAAAAAGTCATCCAACTGAAAGGTTGTGTCCATATTCTCACCATTGAACAATTTGTCAAAATACTCTTGCCATCGATGTCGGATCTCATCCTCCTTCACCAAGAGATGCTCCCTTTCATCCTTAATGCACTTAACTTGGTTGAAGTCCCTTGTCTTTCTCTCACGAACCCAAGCCATCCTATAAATGTCCTTCTCTCCTTCCTTCGTACTCAAATGTTGGTAAAGATCCTCGTACGCTCTACCATTTGCTACACTTATAGCTCGCTTTGCAGTCTTCTTTGCCACCTTGTACTTCTCTATGTTGTCCACACTCCTATCATGGTACAAGCGTCTATAGCATTTTTTCTTCTCCTTAATAGCCCTTTGGACTTCTTCGTTCCACCACCAAGTATCTTTAGCCTCGCCTCCACTTCCTTTGGTTACTCCACACACCTCTGAGGCCACCTTCCGAATGTTGGTTGTCATTTTCTCCCACATGTTGTTTATGTCCTCTTCTTCCCTCCAAGAGCTCTCTTTGATAACCCTTTCCCTGAATACCTCTGACATCTTCCCTTTCAGTTTCCACCACTTTGTTCTTTTAATCTTAGCTTGTTTATCCCTACGGGCACGCACCTGAAAACAAAAGTCTGCCACCAAAAGCTTATGTTGAGAAACAACACACTCCCCTGGTATCACCTTGCAATCCAAGCATGCTCGTTTGTCTTTTCTTCTTGCGAGGACAAAGTCAACTTGGCTAAAGTGTTGTCCGTTACTGAAGGTCACTATATGAGATTCTCTCTTTCTAAAGAAAATGTTGGCTATCATCAGGTCAAAAGCTACCGCGAAGTCCAGAACTTCCTCCCCCTCCTGATTCCTACTACCATACCCAAAACCTTCATGAACTGCCTCGAAACCTGCGCTTGTAGTACCTACATGCCCATTAAGATCTCCTCCTATATAAAGCTTCTCACTACTAAGTATAGCTCTAACCAGGCCATCTAAGTCTTCCCAGAACTGTCTCTTAGCACTCTCGTCGAGGCCTACTTGGAGGGCATACGCACTAATTATGTTCAAGACCATATCACCAACGACAAGCTTGACTAAGATAATCCTATCTCCTTGCCTTCTCACTCCCACCACACCATTCTTAAGGCTCTTATCAATCAAAACTCCTACTCCATTTCTATTCGCGACTGTCCCTGTGTACCAAAGCTTGAAACTTGTATTGTCCACCTCCTTCGCCTGCTGACCCTTCCATTTAGTCTCTTGAACACATAATATATTTACACGCCTCCTAGTCGCGGTATCCACTAATTCTCTTAAAAAAATCTCTAAACCAGCATCTAACTGGTTAGTAATAATTCAATACTTTGGAAACTGATTAAAATCATCTATAGACATATCATAAAAAACGATATATCATATCAAAGAGTTAGCTATGTCCAGATATTCCAATCTATATCTGAAAGTCAACTACATATCTGAACGTCAACTACAGAGTATACTAATGGACATCAAACATTACCAAAATACTTATACAACTTAAAGGACAAAGAAATAGAACAGGTGGAAGAACTAATTTTCAAAATCTATGTTCAGATGAACTACTTTAACATTAATATAAGTTGCAACATAAAAATTGCTCAAGGACAATCAAGATTTTAACTTATATAAAGCGTCTATTGAGGGCCAACATGGCATGTACTCTAGAACTATGACAAATACCATGATATATGATACATGTGGAACAAATTCTTCAATAATTTAGCAAAGAATCCTAAATCCGCTAGACCCGAAAAACATAAATACATAATACATGAATGAATAACTTACTCGACGGTTTGTCGAGCTTGTGGGACATCTCCTTGAACAATCCTCCGAGCTAGCCTAAACAAGAAACAAAATCAAGTTCAGGGACCTATTTCGATAATCGGTGATATGTTGTGCAAAAAGCACTGTTTACCAACCCTCCAAACTATAGCCGTTTTTCCTACACCAGTTCACCAATCGAACTGGATTCTTCTTTGTTCTTCGTGATAAAATCAGATACATCTTGAATCTCATCATCTCTTCCAATAACTGGATCAAGCTTCCTCGACGTGCCATATAGTCGGATCCTTTCCATACTTCTCCAAAGCTTCAGACTTGCCCTCGTGGATCTATTGAAAATACATAATTTTAGTTTTTCATGTGAAGATATCTACCATCGTATCGAGGGAAACAGGAGTTCAAGGTGAAAATTTTCATATCTACGTATTATGCATGAAAATTTTTTCTTTGTGCAATTTACGGGAAAATAGGTTACATCATGCAATTATATTGGGCGCATGCAGAGAGGAAAAGGATAAAAGTTGCAAGCATCTTAATGTCAGTATTGCAATCTTTCCAAAACTAGGGGAAAAAAGAAAAGATAGCTCGTACCTTGATCAATTACATTTTGCTTCCCTCTGATAGATTCAATGGCTGATTTCAAGGTCTTCACAGTAACCTGAAAATCCTTGAACAGCTGTTTCCCAAACCGCTTATCTTCGGCAAAGCCAAGGACTAGATGTACTAACAGTGGGTCATGCCTGATCGAAAGCAAACCTACCAGCTAGCATCCTCCAATCTAGAGTACTAACAGTGGGGGTCGACCGGATCGATACAGCCGTGATAGTGGGCTATAGACCAGATTCAACTAGCTAGTAAACCTCCTCAAGATCAGACATGCCTTGACCGCGTACTATGCACGATCAAGATTGAAGTAGAACAACCAATAAAATGTAATCCATCGTTTGAAGTAAGAACCATTGCAATGTAACAAGATAAACAAGGGATTAAAAGGATGTGATGCCGATCTAGATCGATCTCGATCGGGCAGGTTGATGTTGCTGAAAAACTAATGACGATAAGAATATCAGTAAGATCGGTAACTTAATGAATCTACTCGAAGGGCGCCACCCTTAGGAAGAGCTGATAACTTGATCTTAATCTAATTCGAGCAGTGGAGGTTGACCGGATCGATGCAGCCATACTTGAACTAGATAAGAGTCGATAACTAGCTTATACTAGAGTTCACAGTGGAGGTCGAACTTAACTGATGCAGCCGTACAAACCAAAGTATAAGCCATGATGGTACTTACAGACAAGCCGGAGGTCGGCCGGACCGATGCAGCCCTGCTTATTGAAGAACTCGCCGAATTCTACTCTACTGCTGCTCCTAAGGGTTGGCACAGAGCCAAAAAATAAAGTAAGTTGTATTAGTTGATTGGATGTCTTTTTTACAATGGCCAGAGTCCAATATTTATACCCGGAGCCTAAGCATGAATCCTACTCAAGTACGACTCATTACAATCTTTGGTATAAAGAAAATATTCCTAACTTAAGATAACTTGGACCATAATCTTTCCCTTTTTGTAGAG